GTCACGACGTCCGCGCCGCCAACGGGCACCGCTCACGATTGCACAACCCTGGGCTCCGCGACCGCCACCGCCTCCGCCGATCGCCGCGCCGCAGCGCGCCCGTCGGCTTCAGCAGCAGCGCCAGCCTCCGCGAGACGAGTGGCGACCCGACGTGCGTCGTCCGCCCACTCGTCATCCATGTCGTCGTCGTAGGGCGCCGTGGCGGAGGCCACCGCCGCTTGCACGAGCGCGAGGCCCGCGGGAGCAGCGGTGTCCATCCTGGCGGCATCGCGGCGCGCCGCGCGGCGCTGGCGGCGCCGCCGCCGCTTCACCGCCCGCGCAGCGGGGTCTGCACCTCAGCCAGGACGATCACAATCTTCATGCCGAGGACCACCAGCAACGCCATCGGCCGTCGGCGCCCGCCTCTCGCCCAGCTGGAACAGCACGGCGGAGGTGGCGGAGCGCGCGACCGCAGCGACGGTCCGCCGCGGCGCTCCAGCAAGGGCCGCCTCTCGCACCGCCGCCTCCACGAGGGAAGCCGCAGCGAGCGGAGGCGCGCAAGCCCCTCTAGGCTGCGCCATGCCGCCAGGCCAAGGGCGGGGCCGATGGCGAGTGGCGACGGGCAGCCGTGCAAACGCTTGAGCCAAAATGGCTTGACCCAAAATGGCAAACAAAAGGTGGAGGAGGAGGAGGAGGGAGAAGGCGAGAAAGAGGAGGAAGGGGAGGAGGAGGAGGAGGAGGAGGAGGAGGAGGAGGAGGAGGAGGAGGAGACTGACTGACTGACATCCCTGGGCGAACGGGAGTACGAGGGGTCTCCCCTTCTGTCGTTGAAATTCGCTAGGCGGCATGCCTGACTGGCTGCAACTTTGCTACACACTGGCACTGGTGGAAAAACACTCGGGCCCCCAGGCAACCCGTGAGGTATGAGCTCGGGGCGCTAGGGTGGCGGCCCACACGTTAGTTCACCAGGAGAGACTAAAGAACGCCAGCACCACACCAAGCAGCGCGGGGCCCCCCACGGCATCCCACCCTACAAGGCTAGGTACTAGACAGTCCTGAGCCTCTCCCTTGCTCAGGGGGGACGATTTTGTCTCCCCCTACCTTTGCCTTTACCCCGTGCCTTAGGACGCGGCTGAATTTTTTCGGTCGGGGTGAAACGGCCCCATGGGGTCTTCCAGAGCAGATTCGGAGAGGGAGGAGGTGAAAGAGGCGAGAATCGCTTCCCTGCTCACTAAGCCCCTAGACACGAGCTCACGCAGACGCTCACTTCCTGCCAGGGTCCTCATCCTCCTCATTTCAGCCTCTCCTAGGACGGCTCCAGCTTGTTCAAAAACGCGCGCGTCCCTCTCCAAAGCCCCGCGTGGGGCAGCTCCAATCAAGATCTCCCCGCCGTGCCTGGCTATCTCCGAGCGAATGACTCCGTCGAGCTCGTGTGCGATCTTGGTCGTCGAGAGAGCCCACTGCAACCGCACCTTGCCCTCCATGCGCTTCGACTTCTTCTTGGCCTCCTTGCCCTGTGGGACGCGCATCCTGAAGTACTTGATCTCCGCTGCCGCGTCTCTTAACTCGTACTTCATGACATTCTCTGTCCAGTATGTTCAGGAAGGTGGGGCAGGAAGGAGGAGGCGAGGAGGAGGAGGAGGAAAAGGAGGAATAAACAACTCCTGTGGGCTGGCTCTCGGCAGACCGTCCTTCCGCGAGGGGGGAGGCCTCAAAGGAGCCAGAGGTCCTCTCTTCCAGTTCGAAGGGGGCCTCCTCCTCCTCCTCCTCCTCGCCTCCTCCTCCTCCTCCTCCTCCTCCTCTTGCTCCTCCCTTTCCTCCTCCTCCTCCTCCTCCTCCTCTTGCTCCTCCCTTTCCTCCTCCTCCTCCTCCTCCTCCCTTCTCCTCCTCCTCCTCCTCGTCCTCAACCTGGTCCTCCTGGTAGGCCTCGTCCTCCTCCTCCTCCTCCTCCTCCTCCTCCCTCCTCCTGCTCCTGCTCCTCCGCCTCCTCGTCCTCTTCCTCCTCGTCCTCTTCCTCCTTGTCCTCCTCCTCCGTATCCTCCTCCTCCCTCCTTATCCTCCTCCTTATTATCCTCCTCCTCCTCCTCCTCTCCCTTCTCCTCCTCTTCTCTGATCCTCCCTCATCCTCCCCTCCTCCTCCTCCTCGCCTCCTCTCCTCATCATCATCATCATCCTCTTCCTCCTCCCCCCCTCCTCCCAACCTCCTTCCCCCTCCTCCTTCTCCTCCCTTTCCTCCTCATCTTCCTCCTTCCCCCTCCTCCTTCTCCTCCCTTTCCTCCTCATCTTCCTCCTGGGTACAGGAAGCCTCCTTTGACGCCCCTGGGGCCTTCCAAAGCCCCCAACCTTCTGAAAAAGACCTCGGCCTCCTTTTTTGTTTTCCATAGTTGCGTGAATCCAACGAATCAGTAAACGTCTAAACATAGCTCTTTCGGAATTCCCCTAACCTTCTGGGAATCCCCTCGCGCCACCCCCTCGCGGGCTCAGCCGGCCGGGGAAGGCGCGGGGCGGCGCCGCCGCGGGCCTTGACATAGTTCGCCACGATGTTGCAGCACTTCTCGCCCATCTTGTACAGTTGGATCAGCGCCTTTCGCGGCACCCGCCCAGCCATCTCCTCGAAGAGGTGGAGGTTGGAGTCGGATACGGCAGGGGCTGCCGAGCCAGTCAGGGAGGGGGAATCGCGCAGAATTCGGCATTCAATGCCCATCTGAAGCAGGCGGTTCAGATTGGACAGGGAACGAAGCCTGCGTACAACAGTGCATTGCCCCATCTCTAACGGCTGGCATGAGCGATTCCCCACCTCAGCCCTCTAGCCGGCTCCGTGGAGGGAGAAGAGAGGGTGAGGCGTGATGAGGGGGAGGCAGGAGGAGCAGGGACCAGAGTGAGCCCAGGATGCACCAGCGAGGCCGCAAGACCCCCTCCCTCCCGTCCCAGGTCGCCCCCTTCATAAGTCCCTGCGGCATGTTCGTGCCATGACGACCCCGGCGGTGGCTCCTGATACCGCGTGGATCATTCAACCTTGACCGATCGGCGGCGTTTCGATCGCAAGATCCACAAATAAATAGACACAACTAACAGGATTCCCATAATTCCTACATATTCTTGGTTTCTTGGTTTCCCCCCCCCATTTCCCATATTTTCCCATACTTTCGGGGGTGTTCTTTCTCCCCTCCTGAACATTGGCCGATGCTGGGAAACTGGCGGCTTTCAGCCACGCTGCCGGAGGTCCGGCCCAGGCCCCTTTCCGACGGGGAGGAGGGGGGGGGGCCTCGTGGAAGGACGGGCGGCCGACGGCCAGCCAGACGGTAGCGAGGGGGACTCCCCCCCTCCTCCTCCTCTCTCCCTCCCTCCTCCTCCTCGCCTCCTCCTTCCTCCTCCTCCCTCCTCCTCCTCCTCCCTCCTCCTCCTCCTCTCCTCCTCTCCTCCTCCTCCTCCTCCTCCTCCTCCCTCCTCCTCCTCTCTCCTCCTCTCCTCCTCCTCCTCCTCCTCTCCTCTCTCCTCCTCCACGCTGCCGCCTCAACGCGACACGCGTCTGCCGTGCAGACACTCCTCTCCGCCGCAGAGGCCCCCCCCCCCGCCCGCATGACGAGAGGGCCTCGCGGCCCCGCCGCTCGGCCCCCCCCTCGCTGCAACAGGGCGCCCGAGTTATCCGGGGTAACTCGGGTCCGGGGTAACTCGGGTTTGGGTTCCCGGAAAACGAACCCGAGTTAGCCCTGACCCGAGTTACCCCTGATGATTCGGGGCTCTGGACGCCCGAGTTATCCGGGGTAACTCGGGTCCGGGATAACTCGGGTTCGGATTCCCGAAAAACGAACCCGAGTTATCCCTGACCCGAGTTACCCCTGATGATTCGGGGCTCTGACACAGGATCCGCCCTCCGGCCCCGCGTTTGCAGAACAGTGAAGGGGCCCTGGGACACGCAAACAAATACACAACAAATCCAAAGGGTGTTTTTTTGGGGGGTGGTTTGCCACGAAGGGGCCCCACGACCCACACACACACACGTAAATACACACAAATAAAAAGATTCCCAATATTTTCCCATATGTTCTGGGTTCTTGTCTACCCCCCCCACTCCCCAAATTGTTCCACATTCTCCGGGGAGTCGACGGTTAATTGTGTCTGTGTGTTTTTTTTTTCCCCCTCCTGAAGAACATGCACATCGGTACGCCAGATTCGCGTCGTGCCGACTTCGGCGTTGGTTTTTCTGACACCGCGGGCATCGCTCCAGCTTGAACGATCGGCCGTTTCCGGAACGCCCAAATCGTTCCACATCGAACGATTCTGGGTCGCCCGCGGCGTTCCAAAAATTGAACGACGCTGGCGGGGTCGCCGCTGGTCGACACGACACGAACCTACCGTAGGAGGGTAAAGGCCCAAGGGTCGGGTGCACGCCAGCATGGGTCAAGGATCTGTCGATCTGGCGCGCGGGCGCCAGATCCAAGCCTCGGGAAAGGCCCTCCCCTCCAAACCGCTGTGAGGCGCGTGCCGCTCGATTAAAGGCGACGGACTGCGCCGATTTTGTATGGAGGCCGGGCCCGCCGCTAACCCCTGCGGGCTAACCCGTTCTTGCACTGCCGTGCAGCGGAAACCCCGCTTAGAAGCTGGCATGGCCTCCGTCAATGAAAATGTTGCGCGACCTCGGAGCTCCGCTTTTCAAGCTCTGCAGACGGCAACAAGGGGTGCCAAATTGTAAAAATGAGCCACTTGGATACTCCGGCCATGGAATGTGAGTAGGTCTCAGGCGATAGCCGCAATTGGAAAGGTGCCAGCATTCGCCCCTGTAGGCTGCAAACTTGGCAACCGAAAGTGCGCGGCGCGTGTGGTGAGAACCAACATTTGAAAACGATTACTCTTTCATACTCGTGCAGCTGCTGGAGTTGTGTGATCTTCGCCTTTATGAGCTGTAAGATCATAGGTTACGAAACGCCCAGCCAAACCTACGGACACGCCGAGTTATCGTTCAGCGAAAATATGGAAGAGGGGTGATGATGAAGGAGATCGGGGATGAGGAGGAGGAGGAGAAGGAGGAGGCGGATAAGAGAGGGTGGCGGGGAGGGGAGAGAATGGATGTAGATCGATGATGGAGGAAGGAGGGGGAAAGCAGGAGTAAGAAAGAAAAGGGAATCCACATGATTGACGAAACTCAGCTGACGGAGCCCTGCCACAGCCCCCCCTGCAGCAGCCCCATTAGTACGCACCACAAGTGTCAACCCACGAAAACCCCGATGCAGGAGTACGAGACGGCACAGCTCACGCGGATGAGAAGGAGCGAGAAGGGTGGAGAAGGGAGGTGGATCGTGGCTGAGAAGGGCGAAGGAGTAGGACAAGAGATGGCGAAGGATGACAAAGAACAGCTGGAGGATGACAGACCGATGGACGACTGACGACTATAAAGCTGGAGGATGGAACATCGATGGGCGTCGGAGAACGGAGGGAAGTGAGGAAGAAAAAAGCGGGAGAGAGAGAGAGAGAGACAACAAGACACACACACAGACAAGCAGAGAGGGAGGGATATAGAGAGAGATATACAAACGCAGAAAAGAGAAAGAGAGAGAGAGAGAGACTACGACAAACTAACACAGATAAAAAGAGAGAGAGAGATAAAGAGAGAGAGAGAGAGAGAGAAAGAGAGAGAGAGATAGCCGTCAATAGGACCAACATGCAGGGGGGGCCGAGAGTCGAGGCGGCAATTACGATTCGGGATGAGGGAGGACTGGGGAGGAATAAGAACATGATCTGGAGGTCGGAGAGGGGTGTGGTATAACGGGGTGTGGTGCCGATGCTGGAAATTGCGGCGTGTCTACGATAGCCACAAGTGCGTTGCATCCAGGCTTCAGCAACATTGGCTTGCGAAGGCAACTTTGAATCAAGTCAGGACATCTCATTCACATTCCCAAGCGACCGCCACCTAATGTGATCGGCGACAGACATGCCCAATGCATGCCGCCCTATCGCCAGACGGAAATTCCAGAATTTCGGGAATTCAGTTCTGTGATTCTGGACATTTCGGAACGTCGTTTCGGAATTTCCCGAGTTATGGTCTGCGCTGAAACCATCCGCCACCGTGCCTGCAGCAATAGAGTACCCCAAGGCCCATGCAGCCCTGAGAAGATTAGAACTGCAGATTTTTGTATTTTACAGGTTGAAGGGGCCCGGGCCACCGGTTTCACAAAGATTTCCCAGGACGTCCGGGCATCATTTCTGGGGACCCGGGATTTCCGGGGAGTCTTGGGGATTCCCTGGGCGTGTCGCAAGCGTCCTCCGGTGGCGCAGCTGGCCAAACATGGGCCCAAAAAGCGCCGAAGATGCAGGCCCAAAAACGCCCAAAGATGGCCTCAACGCGGCCCACGAGGCCCCGAAGGCGTCCCAAGAGTGCTCCAAGAGGCGTCCCAAGAGGGCCCCAAGAGGCACAAATGATTGATTTTCCTCAGGTGTTCGAAGTGTTACGGCCTTCTCGCCTTTTCAACTTTCCGGCGCTCCAGAATGGCCCACGAGCCCCCCAAGATCGCCCCGAGAAGGCTGCAGAGGCCCCTAAAAGGGCCCCAAGACAGCCTAAGGGGCCCCAAGGCGGCCCAAGAGGCGCCCAAGACGGCGCAAGAGGGCCCAAAGACGGCCCCAAGAGGAGGCCCAGATGGGGAGCCCGAACGGACACTTAGAGCACTCGGCCCCGAGGGACCCCCAGCAGGCCCCATGAGGCCCCCAATGGGCGCCGAGATGCGCCCAACAGGCCCCGAGAGGCTCCTAAGAGGCCCTCAAGAGGCTCACAAGAGGCCCCCAAACTGATCCCAAGAGGCCCCCAAGAGCGCCCCGAACATTCTGATCCACAACCTAAGCACGGTGGCGGGATGTGCCAAAAAACCACTATAGATACCAATTCTAGATTCTGGAATTTCCGGGATTACGTCCTTGGCCGTGCAAGAAATATGGAATCACGTCTTCCCGATCCGGAATTTTCGAAATCGCGTGCTTGGTGATCGGGCGTCTGGTAACAGGTGTTTGCGTTGCTGTTTGCTGTTCGCATAGAACTGCGGTCACTCAGCGCAGTTGGAACCAGGAAATATGTCGTTGTTTGAAGCGTCGGCGCAAAGCCAACGCTGTTGAAATCGGGATGTAACGCACTTGCGGCGATCGTAGATAACATTGCCTTTCTTAGCATTGGCACAACACCCCTTCATACCACACTCCCTTACAACCTCCAGAAGAGAGAAGGGAGGAGAGAGAGGAGTTGAGGAGATGAGAGGGAAGGAATCCGAAGGAGAGAGGGATGATGAGGGGGTGGATAACTGTTGGCGAAAAGGGCACCGGCATCACGTCAGCTGGATATCGTCCGCGGCACGGGCTCTATACACAGGCGGCTTGTACAGACGCCAATGACCGGGCCAAGTCGGTGATGCAGCGACGGAAGGGTCCGCGGGCGATGGCGCGATGCTCGAAGAAGAACGACCTGCATAAGGATAACAACGTTCAGCGTCCGCGCAGGTTTCCTGGGTCTGTCGGCGATGGACCCCTCCTTGGTGCGCGGAGCATGCGACGGGCGCCGCCAGAGGGGGCCAGCGCCGATCCCAGGAAGCCGATCTGACCGCC